TAAAGTCAACGAAACACAACCTGCATTAAATTGACTGTACACATTCAAAACTGCTTTTAAATGAATGTCATTCGCTGTTGGCATAAATGAATATGTGCTAATAAAATAGTGTCACCGATTAGAACGTGTTTCTTTAAAGAAAACTCACCTGTTTCACTGATTTATCACATAAGCACGGAACAGGTACGTACACCACTCTTCGCCCTACAGCACGCACGACCTAGAGACAAGAGGCTTTGAGTCCAACTGACAACGCCACAACAGTGACTTCAGTGAATGGTTCGAGTGGCCTCCATACATCTACTGTAACCACGTACAACAGATCGCCTAAAGCTGCTAACAGTGCTTTTACTGTCATCTGGTAGACATGCGTCACACTACTTTTCACCTTGCGACCTAAGCGAAAGTAATTAGGACTTAGTGATTTAAACCATTCTCGGACTACAGAGTCTTTAATCAAATTCAGTTGCCGCGAAAACTTCACTCCTTAACCATTCTTCTTTGAGGATTTGGATAAACACATCAAAGAGGTTGCGATGGGTTGGATGATGGCGCTGGGAAACTTGTTGAATAGTGATCACACGGTCTTTCTGATAATGCATTGGGTAGAAAATGTGTCAGAATGAAATCCAATGACTTGACTTTGTGTCCAGGGTGTTGAAACTACTGATTCGTTACTAGACAGCTAGTTTGTTTCCCTCTATTTAATCGCCATTTCCTCTGGCATATTTTTGTTAAGGTCTGACTTTAAAAACATCAGCCACATGTTAGCATGTCAATATGCTACACATGAAGATTTTGTGTACAAAGTCACTTATACAGCAATCTCTCAATAAACATCGAGATGGCAAGTTGCCAATCCAATTCGGAAGATCGTTGGCAGACTGTCCTTCTACATTTGTTACCAGAAAATCTTTGCGCTTAACACAAAGTCATGAAGACGGACAGGTAGGCGCGGAGGTAAAACTTCAGCCATTAACTTTGCAAATTGAATAAAAATTTCCTTGGATATTATCCATCGTCTAGTAAATATAAAACGTAAAACGACGTTTCGGAGATGGGACTCTATCTCCGTCTTCAGGTTCCTA